GTACAAAAATACAATGACACATTGCAGAATTGTGACAGCAGATGACAGCCCCATTTACTATCAAGGAAGTCACTTGCAAATGCATTCTGCAAGTGAAAAAAAAGTTAAAGTAGTGATATAAGATTTTAATATATGACTTATTCCCCACACAGAGTTTATGTTTCCGAATCAGAAAAATGATTGAGGTTTATACCGGATTGGTGTGAATTACGCGAGGACTGGTCCATATTCCTTTTCTCTCCTCAGAACAGGTAATACAAATGGAAAAGTGGTAAATACAATGCTTTTTCAGATATGGAAAAAGTTATATGTCCTAGACCACATCAGGTACTAGGATATACAACACAATATCTAGCTGTCTTTTACTTCAATTGACCAAAAAATGTTATTTAATTTGAAATTAAAATTTTACTTACCACAAAGACATTTGACATATCTGGCTGTGTAGATCATTTTATTCAGCTTGTACCAGGTATTGCATCCCAAATTTGCAAATATTGCATCCCAAACAAATTTTTAAGTGCATTATATCTATATTTAGGATAATTTTAATGCTAACAATTGCTCCATCTCCCTTTTCAGCAGTTAAATATCATCTGCTTTCAGGAGGTGCATACGTCATACTTGTAAACTACCAATTTAAAATGGTTGTAAACCCTTAAATATACCCAGTGAAGTGATTAGCCTCAGGTGATACACAGAGATTAAACAAATCCTCCTACATACGTTGTACCTGTTTATCTGCAGCCATTTCTCCTGTAGAACCTTCCAAAACACACAGATCAAAGGTTTAAAAAGCAGGGGTCTAATGTCATACACACTTCAGAGCTAGAGTGATCTGATAGATGAGTGGAGGGAGTGGACACCCCCCTGCAAACACACTCATAGAAAAACATACATACTGTAGCTGAGGCTATGAAACACTTGTTATGTGCTGGGTGGGGGGACGTGTTGTCTTCTGGGAGGCTGTTTTGTTGGTGTCATGACCTGGTTTGAGGCTGAAATGACAAGAGGGCTTCCCTTATGGCTCTGGTCTGAATACACCTGAATATGGTGACGGGTGTACAAGGCACAAAGTAGCATGAGTTCCAGAGCTCCAGACGGTTGGTAGTTTGTGGAGTTGGTCCAAATGGACGCGACCTTGGCAGCAGAGAGAAGTCCCAGGAACTTCTGTGAAAGGAACTGTAGCAGGTAGATTGTGGACACATGGTATGAAGGTGCAAGGTAGGACCCAGTGGGTGGATCTGGAAGGCAGGGCTGCCAGAAACTTATGCAGGTAAGTAGGAAAGACATGATTTGAAGCCAAGCCAGAGTCATACACAGGTAAACAACTGGAAGAGGAGACGTGGTTGGGAGCTAAGCTAAGGTCATAAACAGCCAAGATGAGAGAGAGGGTCTGCAACCAAGGTAGGGTCACACACAGGAGATTTGACAGAAGTGTAGTCAATCATCAAGCTGAGGTCACAATCAGGAAACAAGGAAGGACAAGCCAAGTCAACAACAGGTAATCAAACAGCAGGAAATCAGAAAGAACAAGGAACAAGGATCATGGATAGCTGATGGTCATCCTTTGATTACCAGTCACCATTCCTTCCTTTAACCCTTTCACTACCAGGCCCTGCTCTCCGGACTATTTTTTTTAAATGTTTCCATTACTTTTTTATTTTTCTCTTACAGCTTTCACAGTTTGTAAAATACCCACCAAACCATATATTTTCTGAAAGAACTTGACCAGTAGAATAAAAAGTAGGTGCTACTGATTTTTAAGGCCCCGTGATATTTGTCAAAATAATATTTTTGCTAAAAATACACAAATTTCATTATTAGCAGATACAAATACTGCACATTTTACAAAATTCCTGCCAAATTTCTACTAAATATAAAAGCTTTATGTATCTCTCAGGAACGGGTACATGTACTGGACACTCGGTCCTTGGTGCAGCTCAGCATTACCATTTCTATGTCTGGCCACTGGACTCGTCACACATGGCTTAAGAAAGGTTACCATAGAAAACAAAAAGTATACATAACCTGTCCTGGTCAGAAAGCCCCTGAAAGAGACTGATAACAGAAACGTCATTCAGAATTAAATAATACAATTACAACATTTGTTGTCTATACATGTCATAGGAAAGAAAATCAATCCACAAGGCCCTACACCCATAGAACTTATCAAAAGTGTGTGCACTTTGATGTCTCCACTCCTCAGTCTCCATAATATCATGCACCTTCTGTAGCCACTCTTTGACTATGGGTACTACAGGAGATTTCCAGTGAATTCGGATAAGACATTTACCAGAATTGAGAAGATGGGGCATCAAGGAGCATTTAAATGACCCATCCAATCACTTTGTGTCATGAAATAGGATAGGTAAAGGATCGTCTGCCAATTGGGACTGTGTAACCTCATGAATAATATTCTGAATGGTGGACCAAAAAGGACAGATAGCTGGGCAGTCCCACCACAAGTGTAGGAAAGTGCCCCTCTACCCGCAACCTCTCCAGCAAAGCCCGGATACTGTTGGGAAAATGCGGGATAAAAGTCTGTAAGGTACCTTATACCATCTGGATAGAAATTTGAAACATGATTCCTGAGCTTTTGACGTTAACCAATGAAGTATGAGCTAAGGATATTATTTTATCAATAGGACAGTCTGACATGTCTCCACCCAGCTCTTTCTCCCACTCCCTGTCCCGCGTGTAGTAGGGAGTTGTAGTAGGGAGTTGTAGTAGTCAATTTCTCCAACAATAATATATATAATTTGGAGAGAAGATGGGTAGAGCCTGCCCTATCTAGGCACATAGACACGGAAAAGTGGTGAGGGGAAATTTGCCAAAGAGAATTTCTTGTTTAAGCCATCCCAGATAGTCAAAGTTGCAGAAGAGAGCGGGGAGATCCAGTCTGAGAGACCCCAAAATGTTCGAGGAAGCCAAAGGGCATGAGCTAGGTTTTGTCCTGCCATGGTCTTTTCTGGAGGAACCCATAATTTGGCTCCTGCATGTAAGTTCCAGTTAACAATTCTGACAGTGGCTTGATAGTACAGTGAAAAGTCTGGGAGACCTAGGCCTCCCCTTGCTTTCATACAACGCAAAAGTTCGTATGAGAGACGTGGCGGTTTCCTGTGCCACACAAATTTAGTGAACTGCTGGTGAGCTTTAAGGAAAGGCCCTAGGTAAGCAGATGAGATGCTTTGGGAAAAAAAAAATTAAATTTGGGAAGGATCATCATCTTCAATATACTTATCCTACCGAGTCAGGTGGTTTGTACTTTCTCCCAGGATTTTAATTCTTCCTGGACACGGCGTAACAATGGGATAAAATTAACTCTGTATAGGTCCTTCAGATCAGGGGACAATTTGATACCTAGATAAGAGAGGGGTAGTCTTGCTATTTAAAAGGAAATTAATGCTCAAGAACTTGTCGTTCAACCTCCACAATAATCACAGGCAGAATGACTGACTTCCCAAGGTTAATCTTAAAACTGGATAGATAATGGAAGCTACTTATTTCATTCAAGAGGTTAGGCAGGGATGTTCTTGGAGAGCTAAGAAAAAAAAATGGTGTCTGCAAATGCAGCCAATTTATGTTTGGTGGATCCCACCTGAACCCCAATAATACCAGGGTTCAATCGAATCCAGCGTAAAAATGCCTCCATGATCAAGGCAAATAATGGTGGTGACAGGTGACATCCCTACCTGGTTAACTTTCACCTGGGCCATAGGACAAGCCTAAAAAGAGGCAATCCAAGATTGCATCTTGGTCCCAAGTCCAAGCCTATGCAATAAACGTGATCTAAATACCCAATCTATGCGGTCCAAAGCTTTCTCGGCATCAAACGAGAGGACAAGATGGGGGGTTTTTTAAGGTGGAAGTTTAGTGGAAAAGGGAAATGGCTCTCTGGGAGTTGTTTCCTATCAGAGAAAGACAGTGTGGATTTGTCTGAGGAAGAGTACAGCCAGGGATCCTGACATAAATTTAAATCGTGCAAGGAACTGGAAAACTTTAATACTCCTGTGCTTGTGGAGTGGGCCCAGAAATGTCAGTAGGCTGTAATTATATCCTGGCTTTCCTAGGATGCTCTTGCCTTGTTGTCTTCACAAGACTGGGGAAGTCTCGAGATACTGCAATAACAAACAAAACAGAGGGAGCACTGTCCTAGTTAATCATCCTTAAAATATGGCTTTATTAAGTAAAAAAAGTAAGTATTATACTCACAAAGTCAGCTAAAAGTAAAAGCTCATCACATAGAAACAGTTTCGAGTTCTTGGTCTCTTCCTTAGAGTCAACAAGACTGTTGTCTGCTCCCAGGCTATTAAATTGTGTGGTGTCATTACCACCAACCAGTTTGGAAACACCCCCATACTGATCGGTGGTCATGACACAATATATTCGCCTAGAAGCAGACAACAGTCTTGTTGGCTCTGAGGAAGAAGCCAATTCCTCGAAACATGTCAGCCTGTTGAGATTTCATTGTCCTGTACTTTATGATAAACTGTGGATTGGACGGTGTTGTTTCTATGTGATGAGCTTGTACTTTTAGCTCACTTTGTGATAATATTACTTACTTTTTTATTTAACCACTAGCCTACAGGGCACTTATACCCCCTTCCTGCCCAGGCCAGTTTTCAGCTTTCAGCACTTTCGCACTTTGAATGACAATTGCGCGGTCATGCAACACTGTACCCATATGAAATTTTTATACTTTTTTTGAGACAGATAGAGCTTTCTTTTGGTGGTATTTAATCACCTCTGGGGTTTTTATTTTTTGCTAAACAAACCAAAAACAACTGAAAATTTGGGGGAAAAAATGTTTTTTTCTTACTTTGTTATAAAATTTTGTAAATAAGTTATTTTTCTCCTTCACTGATGTGCGCAATGAGACTGCAGTGATTGGCACTGATAGGCTGCACTGATAGGCACCGATAGGTGACATTGATGGGCACTGATGAGGAGGCACTAGTTGGTGGCACTGATGGGCATTGACAGGCATTACTGATGGGCACTGAGAGGCAGCACTCATATATGACACTGATAGGTGGCACTGACTGGCACTCTTAGGTGGCACTGACTGGCACTGTTAGGCGGCACTGACTGGCACTGATAGGCGGCACTGACTGGCACTGATAGGCGGCACTGACTGGCAGCACTGATAGGTGACACTGAAAGGCAGCTCAGATGGGCACTGATATGTGGCATTGATGTGCACTGGTAGGCACTGATATGTTGCATTGATGTGGCACTGATGGGCACTGGCAGGTTGCATTGATGGGCACTGACAGGTGGCATTGATGGGCACTGACAGGTGGCACTTCTGGGGCCACACTGATCATCAGGGCACACTGATCATCAGTGCGCTGATGATCAGTGCACATGTCCCCTCTGAGGAATGCCCGATTACCGGCTCTCCTCTGCTCTCGAGCTGTCAGCGTGACAGCTCGTGAGGAGAGAAATGCCGATAACCGGTATTTCCCTATTTACATGTGATCAGCTGTGATTGGACACAGCTGATCACATGACCGAGCCGACATTTTTGGCTCTTTCCATCGATCGGTGATCCGCTGTGTCCGAGGGACACAGCGCACCACCGATCGCTGCGCTGCGTGCCCCCGTAGCCGTGCATGTGCGGTTCGAGTGGGACTATGTCATATGACGTCCTCCCAGAATGAGAGAACCGCCTTGCGCCCTTCATTACACTATACGGCGGGCGGGAGGCGGTTAATAAAGCTATATTTTAAGGATAATGCATTAGGCCAATGCACCCTCTGTTTTGTTTGTTAATACATTGAAATCGCCCCCTAAGATCACTGAACCTGAGAAGAAGTCCTGTAAGATTCCTAGCACTTTGCCAATAAAAGAAACTTGGAATTAAGGGCATAAATATTCACTAATGTAAGAGGATTTCCATAAAGAGACCCTTTACCATCACGTATCTGCCCTCAGGGTCATCCAGGTGTGACTCTGGGAAAAAGGGGCAAGTTTTGTGAAAGGCTTTTGCCACAGCTTTGGCTCGCTTAATTGGGGATGTATTTTGAAACCAGCTGTCAAACAGGTACAGTGGCAGTTTGGGGATCGATCCCGACACAAAGTGGGTTTCCTGCAACATCAAAACCTGTGGTTTAAGGGTCTTTACTTCCCACCATACTCTACTGTGTTTGCATGGAGAACTAAGATCCTTGACATAGTATAAAAGCACTTTAAAGGCAGACATTAGGATAAAGAACAAAACCTGCTTGAGGCAAACAGTTGACCTGGAAAAAAAAAAATCAACAAAAATGATGGAGAGCATTTACAAAAAAAGACAATGCAAAACCTAAATATAGACAACAGACCTATGAGCGGAGGGGGAACCACAAAGGGATCATCCACAGTGAAATAACGGAATTGGGTAAGTGGGGTAGCGTATAAGCCATATCCAAGTAGGCAACTCCAACCAAAGCCACCCACCGCCTATGTAAATGCAAAAACATAGAGCAGTGAAACAAATTACACAGCCAAATACCAAAACAATAGACATGACTTGCTGTATGTCCTGAAACCCCTATGCCATCAGTAGAAAAAACAACTGATTATAAGCAAGAAAAAAAAAAGTGGGGGGAGGGGGGCGGGGAGTGGAGTGTGTGGCAATAGAGAAACAGCAACTTGCAAAGAGAAAAATGGTCCTGCTGATTGGGGCTAGCGTAGAATGGAGAAACATTATCTGAAGTCTTGGAAGGATGATTCAAAGGAAATCGGCAGCAAGTGAGGTCACAGGCACCAACCCAAAATGAACCGGATGGGTAGTAACCAAGAACAAATGTTCAAGTGTTCCCTTTGGCATTAGGTGAGCCCAGATGACTTCAGATCCGCTTATGTTTCTGGCGTGGTTCCTGCCAATCACTCCTATGGTCAGGAAAGTCCACTTTGGACAGATGGAAAATTTGAAGAAATTGTGGTAGCTCATCTTTGTCATAGAGAGTGGCTGAGGTCCCATCTTTAGCAACTGTAAACCAGAACGGAAAGCCCTAACGGTATGTAGCTTCTGAAGAGCGTAGGGTGTCCAGGAGAGGGCACAAGGTTTTCCACAGCTCCAAAGAGCAGAGGGATTAGATCAGGAAAAAAGTATAGCTTCTAGCCCTCAAATTCCAAATAAGGGCATTTGCGCATACCCCTCATGATAGTTTGTTTGTCCTGGTAGCGCAGCAGTTTACAGATCGCATCACAAGGCTTATTAGCATCCAGGTTCGCTGGCCCCAGGGCTCTGTGAGCACGCTCTTTTTGAATGAGTAGTGCAGGGGATTTTCCCAGGATTTTTGTAAAAGCATAAAGCAAGGTTGGAATCAGGACGGCTGTTTTAACGGATTCAGGCAGCCCGTGAATCCTCAGGTTTTTCCTGTGGCTCCTGTTCTTATAATCATCAAATGGGAGAGTAAACCCTCAATCCTGCGATCTTGTTGATCTAACCCATTTTGCAGGGAATGGAGTACAGCCGAGGACTCATTTTGTTGTGTTTCAAGGGTTCAGCCCATGAGCCTATCTGTATGGTATCAGCTTTGAGTTCTTGGAAACCAGCTTTGTATGTGTCTTCCAGCTGCTTGAAAAAGGCTGCCAGATAAGCCTTTGTGGGGAGTTCACCAAGATAGTGCTTGATATCCCAGCAGGGATCCTGAGGGAGTGAGGAGTGCAGCAAGGGGGATTGCCAGGTCCCTGTGGCTGAAGGGGAAGATGTGAAGGGAGGTTGGGACTCATCCTGCAGTGTGGCATCCATGCTGGAATCATCCCTGAGGAGCACTGGCATCTCTCCAGATAGGGAAGAAAAGGAAGGGTCCACCATGATGACACCAGCCGGTTCACCTGCCCACAGCCCAGGGAGGAACAGGAAAAAGCTGCCCTGCAGGCGCTTGTTGGAAGGGTCAGCTGGAGGCTCTGAGTCCCCCTTCTTCCCCAGCATCACCGCTGTAGAAATTGTGCGACTGTGGTGGCTATGAGTAGTGTTTAGTGGCAGTGGGCAGCAGGAGCTCAGCTCCGTCCTCCATTATGGCTTGGCAACGCCCTCCGGCAACTGGTCCTTAAATTTTCAGTAGTTAGAATTACCTTAATTTGTTGAACGTATCTGTACTGTTACCAAAACTGCCTCCAGAAAAGTAATTACTGCTTTATTGAATTACCAAGAATATGTCTTGTTTCCAATAAAAGCTCATCTTCTGCTTACCAGTTTCTGTTGAATGAACATGAATGTGCAGCTCTCTGCAGATTCTTGGCATGTCTTAGTACTAAGATTATGTAACTCCTTTGTGCATGTATGGGAGCTATGTTATTTCAAACTGGCCAAAAAGATGGCAAAATAGTAAATAGTAACTTTACGAATAGCAAATTGATAAAAAGTAATGTTCTTTAGCAAGGAACATACATTCCACATTGATAATTATGCTACCAAAATTAGTGTGTGCTGTAAACTGCCTTCAGCATTGCTCCTGTTTTTTCTTACTAGAGGCTGTCTTTTTGCTGAAGTTTAGAGCCCCGGAGGAGCAGTGGCTCTGATTTTCAGCACAATGACAAAAATGGAGAGCAACTAAGCATGTTAAGAGCAGGGTGAAATAGTGTATTACTGGATTTTAAATAGTATAGGCACTTATTTTTAATGTTTTGCATAGCTATATTTGCAAAAGGGGCCTGCCTGAAGTGATCTAGCAGGACCTAATTTTCTGAACAAAGGTCCACTTTAAGGTCTGTTTGATTAACAATCCCTTTCTCAATTCTCTCTTCCATCATTATATTCTGTGTCTATACCATAGGGTCATAATGTACACAAAATACCACTTCTAAACTTTAATATATATCATTTTAGTAATGGTAATAATATGAAATAGTGTATTAAAATAAATTAGTCAATAAAATATAGTTCCATCTCTCACCATTTCTCTGTCTGCCACTAACATTCATGAAGCCGCATTTTATCCGACTTCTCCCTGTAATAAATGTTTATTACCTGTACATCCTGCAAGTAGATCTATTATATTTCTATTTGCTGTAAAAGGATGACAAATTTGTCTGTTCTGCAGTGAAATCTCACAGCAGTTTTGTTACCCTGTGTGACAGGGCAGACTTAAATGGATATGTCTTTTTAAAGTGCAGCCAAATTGGGATAACACCTACTTTATTTTTTTGTTCATGTTCTTATTCACATAGTACGACTTTAACCCCACTGGCGGTATTCCCAAGTGTAGCTCGGGGTTAACTTTCAGTACCAGAAGCGGTAACCCCGAGGTACACTCGGGATTAGCCTGCAGCGTTGCTCAGGGATTCTCTCCAGCACTTACCCTGTCCTGCGCTCCAGTGATGTCCCCCCTGCAGAGTCCCCAGCCATTTCCTCCAGCCGATGCCGGCATCCGTCTTCCGGATTTTGTTCCCTGAGATCGTTGGGATGTATGGGGGATGGAACCGGTGGGAAATTAAAAAAATGTGACATTCACTCAATACACTAAAATCTCATAGTATAACATTACTGTATCAAACCATTTCACATACATTTTGTCCCTAGTGCTTTGTCCTGTGCCCTGCCTGCATTTTTACTATTCTTTCTGCCTGGAAACTGAGAAACGTCCATGGCGTTCAAAAAGCGTTCCTTTCGGTCAAAAGGGGTTTTAGCCCAGCTAGAGAACAGCGATAGTAAATTAGAACCACTTGCAGAATTGAGTGATAATGATTAGTGGGGAAATTCATCATCAGACCCTGAAAACGATTTTGCGACTAAGATCAGTGATGTGCGAACTTGGGGCTCTATTTCAAATTTCAGTGTTTTTGGTTTGATTACATTATGGAATTAAATTTATTATTATATTTTTATTATTTATGATTATTAATTATATTATAATTTATGATTTCGTGTTTCAAATTTTATCATAACCAGGATGTTTACTAGACTCTTGTTCGGACAGATTTCAGTGAGTTATTCCTAAGAAATACAGGCCTACAATAAAAAAACAACGTATTTCCATGCAAAAAAATGTATCGCTTTGAGCACAGAAATACTGACATAATCAGACCGCTAAGGAGATTAAAGGTGAATTCTAAGTTACTTTGTAAAAAGTGAAGGCACAGTATGAGTTACCATGTTATATCTGACAGGTTTATGGCTCTGCTGGAGCATACACCGAGACAGAGGAGAGTAGCACATAGAGCAGCTATGCCCACTCCTCCCCTCTACTGCCCATTCACCAAAGCCTTTGTATTTTGTGAATGAGTTCACATACTACTAAGGATTCTGTAATTGGGTAGGAGGAGGAGAATGGGAGGCGCCTGCATAGCAGTTACAGTGAATCTACTGTTGCAGAGGCGAAAAGGATCAGCTCAAGGCTCCCCGAACTACAGTGATTGCTGCCTTCCTGGAATGCAAAACAATTGTCATATATAAATAGTAGGGTTAAGCCCAGGATGTGTCGGGCACCTCACTGGGCTTGATTCATAGTGTGCATTCATTTTTTAGGAGCTGAATTCCTGCAGTTCAGCTTTAACCACCTCCCACCTGGGCTGTTATGAAAAAAAATGCAGAGTGGGAGCGTTGTTATCCTAGGAGGACATCCTTCCACTTGAGCACA